TTCAGTAAAAAATACACTAAAGCAAATTTTAGGGCACAAAAATGCAATAAATGAACCAATTTTCTGGTAAAATCTAAAAAGAAGAGGTTGTGCCGAGTAAATAGATACCCAACAAGTCTAACCTTAAAAAACATAAAAAAAAAAAAAAAAAATCTTTTAGAGCCCCCCTCCGCATACACACATACGATGAAAATGCATGGGGCACCTACGTGCAAAAACGGCGGCTGCCCACCACGCATGTCGGAGTGAGAGTAATATTCCTAGCACCAGAACTCCTGCATAGCACTAAACTGATGACCTGTAGGGGCACTGCAAGTGTGCGCCCATCAAACAGCAAAAAAACTTCAAATACCCCATATTTTTTCCATCGGCAATGCTTTAAAAGCCCCCCCAGGTCATCAGTGTAGTGTTATGCAGGAGTTCTGGTGCTAAAATGATTGCTCTCACTCTGGCGTGCATGGTGATACATAACATGTGTAGGGCAAACGCAGGCAGCAAAGCGCGTGTGTTTTGTATGTGTGTGCGTTGGGGTTCTAAAAAAATTTATTTTTATGTGTTTCTTAATTAAATTTTTTTTTTTTTACATTTTTATTCTTTATTTTATTTATTTTGTGGAAGTTATCAGCTGCTGGTATCACTTTCATATTGAAAGCGAACAGTAAGCTTTACTAAAAAACACACTCCCAGCCAGTATGGAGCCGGGAGTGTGTTAAAAACACATTGCTGCAGCAGCATTGAAAATCCAAATCCCCAGCATCGGGCTGGGGATCTGAATTTAATGCCCCCCCCATCCCAGCTCCCTAAGGCAGCTGCCTAAAGCAGAGCTCTGCCCAAAAGGGGAAGTTCCACTTTAAAGACTGGTCCCCCGCTCCCCATGAAGGATTGGCACCTTTTGGGGGCAGGGGAGGAGCAGGTACCCGAATTTGACAGGTACCCGCTCCCACTTCCACTCTGATCGGAAGTGGAAGGTGTCCTCTCTTCCTCCCTTCCCATAGTCTTTTGGGACACGTGACAGGTCCCAGAAGACTACAGGGCCATTCAGGAAGTGCAGAGCTACTCGCGCATGCGCAGTGGGTACCCGGCTATGAAGCTGCAAGCTGTCACAGCCAGGTGCCCACACTGAAGATGCCAGCTCCCAGGGAGAGAAGATGGCCGGTAAAACGGGCTGCAGGGGACACACCGCGGGACCAAGGGACAGGTGAATGTGTGTTTTTTAAAAGTCAGCAGCTACAGTTTTTGACACCGTGAGTGGAACTCCGCTTTAAGCTGCCTTGTGCTGGCACCGGCCCGGTTTAACAGGGACTGGGAGCTTTGCTGATCACAGAGCTACAGGTCTGACTGAATATGGGGCAAAGTTGGACCTCTGCAGAGAGCCTGCTACTTCCACGCAAAGAGTAAGGGTTCTTTGCTGCAGATTACAGCTGGGTTCAAGATGTCCTGCTCATGCTGTATTACACAGTAAAGGCCTGTGTTGGTGGGCTTGTGTTCACTTCAGATGGGCTGTTCTCATACAAGTCTATATGGATGCAAACCCCACTTGAAGCAGGTCAGGAGGAGATCAGCTGCAGGTCATAGGCACCTATTGGATGAGTGCTGAATGACTTCAGAAACGTCTCAAACTGATACCATCCACACAGGCTTAAAAACATTTAGAATCAGTTTTTTTTTTCAGCAGCATCACAATAAAAACAGTTGCTGAAACTACAATTAGGCTTTAAAGGGAACCTATGATTGAATGAGCCCTAATATACTTCCCTTTTAAAGTAGAACTATAGGCAAAATTATTTTTTTTCATTTTGTATAGCGCAAGGGAGGGTCATAACCCTTGTCAGATGTGTTTTTCCTTCTGTGTCCCATTTTGGAGATTTCCCCTCACCTCCTGTCCCATAGCCAAACAAGCGAGAGGAAACCTCTGCAAAAGATCGGAATTCCTTGGGGTCCCCCAGGTCACCAGATTTCCACTCTATTACTTTTCTGAGGACAACCCAAAATTTGGGATTTTCTTTTACTTTTATTTTCAATGATAACAGTAAACAGGATAAACCAAGAGGGTGAATCTCCCTAATGGGGGCACAGACAGCAATAAAAGCCTGACAGGGGTTCCAATCCCTCTCCACTCTATCCAAAACTAAAAAAAAAAAAATGTTGCCTTTAGTTATACTTTAACTTTATATGTCTTATAAACGGATGTCTTATATATGATTTTTTTCTATACATATACAATCTTCGTTTTAAAAATACACATTTTAAAAAGACAAAGGATTCCCAGAGCACAGATATTTAAAGAGACAGCACAGAGGAAGCTGTTTGCCTTTAGGCTGCTTTTCTCTGACTGGACAGATATAAGGGAGGAATTGCTGCATTTGTGAGTGCACGTTTTCCACTTGAGCTATTCAGCTCTGTAAACAACAAGCTGCAGATGTTAAAGAGACTGGGTAGAAGAATATATGCTATTCATATGCAAACATTGCTTTATGATATTCATAAATATGTATATAACATGATTCCCCTCTAAGATATGAAAATACAATATATGCCAAACTGTACACATTATTTTTAGAAAACTACAAGTTCCAGAAGGCTGAACCAGCCAGTGACTGCTAAGACGTCTATAACCTTGGAAGGACTTCAAATGTCCCATTAGCTGAAAAAACTGAAAGAACCCCTTGTGCCCAGTGGAGCGGTAATACCTTTATGCTTCATGGTCAGAAGGGCAAAGTCTTTAGTAGTGGATTCCAGTACAGTGTACAGTTACAGGGAATTATAAAAATCAATACAAAGCTGTATATACAATACAATACACAACATCTGTACCTGTTTACATGGGTCTGTGACACAATGTACATCTATAGCGAATGCATTGGCTCACCATAGACTAAGCATGTACAACAAAGAAGGTCCCTTCACAATCACATATAGGCCTTCGTTTGTCAAAAAGAAAGGCGTCCTTTTGGGCATTTGCCCCATGTCCCTTCTTTGCCAGCCATCCTATGGCTTTTTCTGGGGTCCTACTCCGCATCTGAATCACGGTCTGTTGCCGGGATCTGCCATGGCTGACTCTCAAACAGAGCTATTGCTGAAAAAATTGGAAGCAATGACCTGGTTAGTATACCGTTAATAGACAGAGACATACAATAATTAGTTTTTTCATCTGCTTTACATATTTTGATACCCTGGGCTCATCACTGAATTAATCAGTGTCATACCTTGAAGGGTACTTGTAAGATCTTCCTTTCTCCCAGTGATGGTACAAAGTCCATTAGCACCCAAGGCGAAAGGGCCAAAGTTCACCCTCCATGACCTGTGAATTACTTCGACAGCATACAGTAGATTGCAGGTCCTGCCCCAATTGCCCCCTCCACTTACTGCAGTACCTAAGGCAGTTGTCCATTTTTCTTAAGCCTTGGTCCAGCCCTGTTTGCACCCAAAGGATGTACTGAGCCAAACTGTTCAACACAGACAAGTGTTTAGTGATGCATATGTGTCCCTGGGTGCTGATGCTACAGGGGTCCCCCTCTCCACAGCATAAGACACTTAGGCCTCATTCACATTGGCGTACTTAAGATGTTGTGTGTCTCCGTGCAGGCAGTCCCATTCATGTCAATGGGGATGCAGTGGCTGCACGGACACAGCCACTGTTCCCAATTTTTTGACATGGGTCCCCAAAAGCAGACAGTGTGAGTTTGGGGATCTGCGAGCACCTGCGCGGATGTCAAATTGGAAGCAGTGGCATGCAGCCGTTGTTTCCAATTGACATCAATGGGGCTGTCTGCAAAGGGATGCACAGAACACACTTAAGTACACCCATATGAATGAAGCCTAAGTGTCTTGTGTTTAGTGATCTCCAAAGCTGTGGAGGGGGGCCCTGTAGCATCAGCACATAGGGACACATATGCATCAGTATACACTTTTGTGTGTTGGACAGTTTGCCTGTGTCCCTAGTGTCTCCAGTGCTCCTGTGCCTCCAATGGCTCTATATCTTAAGCATCTTAAGCATTTTTGCACCTCCAATGACTCAGTGACCCCTCTGTCTCCAGTGTCCTCTGTGTCCGCTGTGTCTCCAGAACCTCTGCACCTCCAGTGACTCTATGGCCCATGTGTCTCCAGTGTCCCCAGTGCTCCTGTGTCTCAAGTGACCCCTGTGTCTTCAGTCTCCAGCACCTCTGCACCTCCAGTGATTGCGTGACTCCTGGGTCTCCAGTGTCTCCAGTACTCCTGTGCCTCCAGTGACTCTGTAACCCCTGTGTCTTCAGTGTCTCTAGCACCTATGCACCTCCCTGTATCTCCAGCATCCCTGTGCTTCCAATGACTTGGTGACCCCTGTGTCTCCAGTGATTTGTTGACCCCTGTGTCTCCAGTGTCCCCTGTGTCTCCAGTGTGCCCAGGACTCCTGTACCTTCAGTATTTATGTGACCCTCGTGTCCCAGTGCCTCTTTGCCTCCAGTGTCTCTGTGACCCCTGTGTCTCCAGTGTCCTTAGAGCTCTTGTGCCTTCAGTGACTCTGAACCCCTGTGCGCTCCTGTGTCATATGGTGACATTGAAGCATCTTGCATCACCCGTGACCCCAGAGAACAATGGACTCAATAGCATCCTGTGTCACCCTGTGACACCTGAGCATCCTGTGTCATGCAGTCACCCTCAGCATTCAATGTCATCCTGTGACTCCAGTGCCCCCACAATACCCATGTCTCCTCGGGTACACTCCTGTATCTCCTGGACTGTCCCTCTCTCAGTGGATACTGACCCCTGTCCATAACAAAAAGGAGCGATATAACAAGATATGAGGAACCAGAGGGAGACTTAGCCCACCAAACTCCATCAGTATTAATTATACGTAGAGTGGCCCTTAGAGCACAGATAAATGCATATGGAGAGGTTTATGTGTTTGTTTGGATAAGGTTCTTTCAAGAAGTATGAACATACTTGGAGAGCTCCTGGATGTGCGGACGCAGGCCCTGCGCCCCTTCTCAGACAGTTTGGGCACTCCCGCCCGTACTGGTGCAGGTCTTATCCCGGCATTCCACTCAGTGCTTTGCGCCAGGGTCTTCGCCGTTGTCTTATTTGCTGGGTACTCTCCGTTTAGGTGGGTAGCCCAGTTTGGTCTGGATGGGGCCCTGGGGACTTTTCCAAATTCAGCTGCAATAGACATCTAGAAAGAGAATATACAAAGATTGTTGTTATTAAAATGTTCCTGTGCTCCATTATAAACTTTTAAAAAAGCCTGTTGCCAGACCATTCATTTCAACAACAATCTTTAATTTTAATAACCACTGTTTTTTTTGTTTTTACTTTTTTACTTTTCTACTACAAAAAAAAAAAAAAAAAAGGCAAAAAATCTGAAAAAAAACCATAACCTGCTTCCTTTACTTTCTAATATAAAACATATCAAATAAAAATGCCAGGACAGCACAAACACCCCAAAATAAAAGTAGACAACCCAAGATGATCTCATTTTTTGCCACAATTATTTGAAAATGAAGAAACATGCCATTAATGGAATGGTTAAAACATGGAGCTTGGCAATTGAACGCTAGATACATTAAATGTACAGGTGATACATAAAGGGAGGAGGAGGAAGGAAGAGGTCGATGTACAAATTTATAGGAATAAAGAGGTGAAGGGTTAATCTACAGGTCACTGCAGAGATGGGATGACGGTGCTGAGCTATACAGAAGGGGGTAGGGTTAAAAACGATCCCGCATCCTTGAGATTTGCTGATATGGAACTAATACATTATTCACTCTTATGATCCTTCTTCCTCCATTGCTAGAGGAAGGGGTGGGCTGTCTCCAATGTAAACACTACGCTGTTTATCATTGTGATTGCTGCGATTGGTCATCACATTGCACAGAGCCACTCGGATCAGATCTGTACATGTGCCTGAGCCGACCTATCCAATGATGGCTCAGTTCACAGCTAATAAAATGTATATACAGCCAAAACCTTTTATACATTTTGAAAGCAGTAAGGGAATTATTTATTGACTCTCTGTGTAGCACCAGTGAAATTTTCGTTAACTTTCCCAGAGATGCAACAGGAAGTAAGAGGAAATCTACCAAAGCATGAGGAATTTCCATGTTAGGCAGTGGTGTTGCAAGTGTGGTTGCCCAAGGCGCAAATTAGTAAGGATTCGAGATAAGAAGAGGCGGTAGATCAGTCTGTATGGACTCCCATGTTAGTCTTGTCGGTAGCACGCTCCCTCTTCTCTTTCCCTTTTAGGCTGTGTTGGCGGGTCCAACTAAACGGGGTTGAGGAGAGCAAGCGGTGCACTGACCTCTCTTCTTCTTCCTCTCCTCTCCCCTCTACTGCCAACCAGCATGCCATGCATGGGAACTTCTCCAACTACTAGCCTGGGGGGAGGGGGTTATATGGAGTTAAGGTGCGCAATAAGGGGGTCAAGGGACTAAGGACACACAATGGGGGGGGGTGTATGGAGTTGATGGGCACAATGTGGAGATGGAAGGGAGTGGGGGTGCACAATGGAGGGGTTGGGTGATAGGAGTGGGGGATGCTCACTTAGGAGAGTACATGGAGTGGATGAGAAAGGTGGGCACACAGGGAGACAGGGAGTGCTAATGGTTCACGAGTTAGGGGGCTCAATAATTGCCTTGCCCCATTTGCTGGCAACGCATGCTACGGCACTGTTCTTAGGCAGTTGTCCTCAGAACAGATGTTTTCCTGTTGGAAGATTCCACTTTACCTCTTGTTGTAGGAACAACTCCAAAATTCTGGATTTCCCCTCATTTCTTCCTCGGTGATATTGGTAACCAATAGAAATAGTAGAGCTGGAACAAGAGGTGGGAAGGTGGGGCAGCCGCCTGGCTGCGATGGTGGTGGTGGTGGTGAAGGGTGGGAGCCCACTCATTGCACTTTGTAGATCAGTAGCTGGCAACCAGCAAGCTATGGCTTTATGTCCACTTTTAAAGGTACTGTTGTAAAATTGTGCTCCATCATGCCCACTCTCCACCCCATCAGCCCAAAGCTTGCACGAAAAACACAGTGTGTGTGTGCGCAACTAACTTCTAGCTAATAAAAACAAAGTAATTGCCAGCTAAGTGCAGTGCACACTCCATGTCAACCATTGGCGGCTGGGGCAAGGGGGCATCGTTGCACCTGGGTGAGACTATGTGTTCAACCAATCATGGGTGAATGAAAGGTCAATGTAACTGGAAATTCACCCTTTCAGTGATGACCATTGGCACCAGAAAAGGGAAATGAAAGGAAATCAAAAATGTTATAGTTGTCACCAGAACTGAGTGGATAGCTTCCAATGGGATTGCCTAAAGCTGGACAATCTGATTGTACAACCTCCTTTTGTTCCACCAAAACATTGTAACATAAAGACAAACCTCAATAATCTTTATAACTAGTATTCAATCAGGCAGGTCCTTATACTTCAAAGTTGATGGTAGATCTAAAAGAGATTGTACAATCAGATTGTTTAGTGTATGGTAAACCATAAGAGGGTTATAACCTGGGCTTTTTTTAAATCACAGAATAGGTGCAGGAACCTCCCACCTTTTGAGGTACCCCTTGTCTCCGCCCCCTACCCACCTCCAAGCACTATCCCTTGGTTCCATCCTCTACCCACCTCCCAGTACTGCCCCTTTTAGAGAATACAGAATCAGGTATCATTCTGTGGTGCTAAGTAATGAGTATGTATTGTGTTAATGATAACAAGAAAAGCAGGAAAAAACAGGAAATCCACTTCAGCCGGCAACAATAGACCCCCCCAGCAGCAACAACAGATCTCCCAGCATCAACAGGCCCCCCAGCAGCCAGGAACAATAGACTCCTCCCTCAACAATAGATCCCTCCCAGCAACAACTCACCCCCTCCAGAAACATAAGACCGTCCCAGCAACAATAGACCCCAATGCAAAATTAGATTCCCACCATGGACAATAGATCCCCCAGCAGCCAGAAACAATAGACTCCTCCCTCTACAAGAGATCCCTCCCAGCAACAACTGACCCCCCAGTAACATAAGACCCTCCCAGCAACAATAGACCCCAATGCAAAATTAGATTCCCACCATGGACAATAGATCCCCCAGCAGCCAGAAACAATAGACTCCTCCCTCAACAAGAGATCCCTGCCAGCAACAACTGACCCCCTCCAGAAACATAAGACCGTCCCAGCAACAATAGACCCCAATGCAAAATTAGATTCCCACCATGGACAATAGATCCCCCAGCAGCCAGAAACAATAGACTCCTCCCTCTACAAGAGATCCCTCCCAGCAACAACTGACCCCCCAGTAACATAAGACCCTCCCAGCAACAATAGACCCCAATGCAAAATTAGATTCCCACCATGGACAATAGATCCCCCAGCAGCCAGAAACAATAGACTCCTCCCTCAACAAGAGATCCCTGCCAGCAACAACTGACCCCCCAGTAACATAAGATCCTCCCAGCAACAATAGACCCCAATGCAAAATTAGATTCCCACCATGGACAATAGATCCCCCAGCAGCCAGGAGCAATAGACTCCTCCCTCAACAAGAGATCTCTCCCAGCAACAACTGACCCCCCAGTAACATAAGACCCTCCCAGCAACAATAGACCCCAATGCAAAATTAGATTCCCACCATGGACAATAGATCCCCCAGCAGCCAGGAACAATAGACTCCTCCCTCAACAAGAGATCTCTCCCAGCAACAACTGACCCCCCAGTAACATAAGATCCTCCCAGCAACAATAGACCACAATGCAAAATTAGATTCCCACCATGGACAATAGATCCCCCAGCAGCCAGAAACAATAGACTCCCTCCCTCAACAAGAGATCCCTCCCAGCAACAACTGACCCCCCAGTAACATAAGATCCTCCCAGCAACAATAGACCCCAATGCAAAATTAGATTCCCTCCATGGACAATAGATCCCCCAGCAGCCAGGAACAATAGACTCCTCCCTCAACAAGAGATCCCTCCCAGCAACAACTGACCCCCAGTAACATAAGACCCTCCCAGCAACAATAGACCCCAATGCAAAATTAGATTCCCACCATGGACAATAGATCCCCCAGCAGCCAGGAACAATAGACTCCTCCCTCAACAAGAGATCTCTCCCAGCAACAACTGACCCCCCCAGTAACATAAGATCCTCCCAGCAACAATAGACCACAATGCAAAATTAGATTCCCACCATGGACAATAAATCCCCCAGCAGCCTGCATCAATAAACCCTCCAGTAAACCCCAGAACCCCTTGCCATTACATACAATCAGTACTGCGTTCCCCCATGTTCCTGCAGAAAAAAAGCCCTGGTTATAACTAATTTTGCTATATCTAATGTATAAAACTCTGGTTTTAGATACATTTTAAAACTCCACTTCCACCAATGAGCAGAGTAACAGACAATGGGACGTGACGTTAGACGCAAAACCGGAAGAAGCAGCGCGGCCATCTTTGATGTGGTTTCTTGCAATAGGATGGACGGTTTACCCTTTTTATATGTAAGCAGATATTAAATTTTGAATTTTCATTCATTCTCTCCACTGAGTCTTCTCTTCTCTGCCCTGTGAGGAGTGGGGAGGATTCCACTGCGCATTCCCGTTAGAGGAAAGCTATCTAGCATTCGGGATTATTTGAAACGCCTGTGCAAGCTGCAAGAGGGTAAGAGTATATTATCCTAGCAGAGTGGTGGCACCAATTTGGACTAGTGCACCTTATCACTAGTTGTATGCTTGGATTTGCTGTGATTTCACCTGTTGGAGTGATTGATTCACTATATCACAAGTTGAATTGTGAATTTTATCAACCTCACGTGTGGGGGTATATAGGTGTGTTCACCTCATACACATGGTTCACAATATTGTATAATTTGGGATATATTTATAATTTTTGTTTTAATTTTTGTTTTATTTATTTATATTAACCAATTCAATACCGGAAATTTTACCCCTTCCTGCCCAGGCCATTTTTCACGTTTCAGCGCTCTCACACTTTGAATGACAATTGCGCGGTCATACAACATTGTACCCAAACTAAAATTTTATCATTTTCTTCACACAACTAGAGCTTTCGTTTGGTGGTATTTAATCACCGCTGGGGTTTTTATTTTTTGCTAAATTAACAAAAAAAGACCAAACATTTTGAAAAAAAAAACACGTTTTTCTTTCTTTCTGTCATAAAAGTTTACAAAT